CAAACATTAATTTCTCCTCACTTTTGATGGCAGTAACGGTCGTTTTCCTCATGCTATAAATATAAGATCATTTATTGCAAGCCAACTACTCACCAAACCAAAAGAAACATCTTACGTGAAAATTATTCTGCTGCTCACAAATTATTTTGTTATTTTCTCAAGAGAAAAACTTATCTTTGTGATAAATCACAGTTTGTGATATAGCTTTCTAAGAAGCAATTTGTTTCACTATTGTAAAGATTTAATTCTTGTATTTGTTCCTTGAGAGACCAAGCTTGGTCAGATTTCTCAAGAAGGCTAGGACTAGTTTGAGTCTTAGTGGTGTTAGTCACTTGTAAGTTTACTTGTGCTTTGTATTGTTAGTCACAACAGTTTGGTTGTGTGATTGTAATTTATTTGATTATAGTGAATTAAGTCCTTATTGAGAAAGGCGAAATCACCTTGGCGGGTGGACCGGAGTAGTTTGAGTTCAAACGAACCAGGATAAAAATAACTGTGTCTTTCCATTATTGTTGAGCTAGTAAGAAAAAGAAAAAGGAAAAACTTATTCAACACCCCCCCTTCTAAGTTTTTTCTCACCCTTCAGACCAGTTTGGGTAAGAAGGATAAAAAGTTAGACCAAAATCAGCGCTAGGAAGTTTTGGAAATTTTTGTGGTTGATGTTTGAAAGCTAAGTCATATTTATGTTCAAGTTTGACACAAGTAGGGATGTTTAAATGAGGAAGTATTTTGGTAAATTTCTCTTTTAAAGTTTGGGTTGCGTAGAAAGTGGTTCGATTAAGGTTAGTTGGATCATAGACAGTTTTAAAAAGTACTTTTGGAGCGCCTGGATTTCCTTGATATACATGTGCTTACCTTTGTGGCTTAGATCCTGCATAGATGCAAAAGCTTTCGTCATATGATGGCTGGGGAAAATGGTGTCGAACATATTCTTTGAATAAAAATCTTTCCAGTAAATATCAAAGTCCTTCGAGCAGTATAAAGATGTGTGAAAAGGAACATGATTAAATATTGCAAAGCTGACATGATAAGCCATATGTTTTTCCAAGTCTGAGAAAAAGAACTTCATCCCTGTTATGCAAAGTTCATGTTTTCTTCCAAAGATAGGCTCAGGGATTAGTTAACAAAGCCCAAATTATCGAAACACAAAATTGGGTTGGTAGGCAAGCATGCAGATGTTGCTTTTCATATGCATTATCCTCGAAACAATTAATCTAGGGAGTAAAAAGGCTCTCCAGATGCCAACAATATGTGTATCTTCAGGAGAAATGTCAAAGAGAGATTTGGTGAACCATTCAAGGCCATGAGTCCTATTGGCAAAAGGAGTCGTCGAAGAACTAAAGATATTTCGTTTGGAAAACATCATGACATACTTATTAAAAACACTCCCCAAAGTTTTTTCCGTCATTATCAGGAGTCAGTCGAAGCAGTCTTGTTCCTTCGACGGTTCGATTTTGGATTTTAGGATCTTCACTGTTCACTGTGTCAGAAGTACTGAGAGATGGTTTGAATGTTGCATTAAGCCATAATTTGAGAAGTCAATATGGGCCAGCTAGCAGTAAGTTTGTGCCTGCCTTGTATTCTTTCAGTTTAGAAGTAGTAGATCCAAGACTTTCATATAACTCAGTGAGAATTAACTCATTGAGGCACACTTTTCTACCAGAGTGGAGTTGATTTGCTAAATTAAGGAATTTTTTGGCAACTTCTAAGGATTTTCATAAAAAGATACACCTTGATAGCCAGAGAGCAATGAAAGCTATGTGCTCAACGTCAGACACATCGTCTCCTTCGACATGGTAAAGATTCATGCATTTGGTAAAGGCAGCGTTTTCGACGACAAAGTTGATGGTGTTTTCTTCTTGTTGATAAGGATCAAAAGTTTCTCCAATGAGTGAGAGTCCAGTAATAGCAGACACATCGAAGAGAGTGGGGGTTATCATTCTGCATGGTAGATGGAAAAGTATTGTAATATCCCAGAAATATGAGGACATCAACATGGGCTGGAAATAACTAAAACATATCTTCGACATTTGAATCAAGTTGAAGATGCCTAAGTCTTTCCAGGATTGGGATTTTTCCTTTTCGACTTTAGCTAGCCAAGCAAGATATTGTTTATCTGCTACAGGACAAGACCTAAAAGGTCTAGAGTTTTCAGTTACATAGTCGAATTGAAAGGGTTTATCTTCAGTTGTAGGAACTGAGGGAGTTTCTTTTTAGATTTTCTCTACAGATGATTCTGCTAATTGTTTATCAGGATTATCATTCTTTTTCTTCTTAGGAGGTTCAACTTTGTTAACAATGGATTTTATATCATAGTAAACTAGGAAAATGTTCTTAATTTATTCTAAACATGAAGAGGATAACATAGGACCCATATACCCTAGAGCTTTATCATCAAAGGTAAAAGAAATTATTACCTGAGAAGCGTAAATTGCTTGTTGTTCAGCAGAAACATGTGGTATTGGAACCAATTTTTGATTTCCAAGGAGAAGGAGTTTTGTGATGTGGTGAATCGGTTGAAATGCAGCATCATTGTTGTTCTTCACTTCCTTGTTCTTCATATTCTTATCATATTTGCTACCTTTTTTGGATGGTGCTATGCTTGAAAGTTCAAATTTTGAAAGATTGAAGATTTTTTGAGAAAAAGAAAGCGTAAGCTTTTGAAAACCAGAGGTTAAGAAAATGAAAAGGTGTGTTTGAGGGAGAAGAAAGATATTTATAGCTGGAAATCATTCAGTTTATATTAATCTTTGAGTTAGTGGGACACATGGCGATTTTTGATAAGTTAAAGAAGAAGGTTACTTGTTAAAAGACCACCTTAGAAACCTACTTTAATATTAATGATGGAACTACTGCACGCACGTCTTGATTATACATTTTGAAAAAGTAAATCATGATTATTCTGACGTCATGAAAGTTAAGGATCATCATGAAGATTGTTTGTCTGTCGAAATATAATTGTTTTGCAAAAAATGTATGTTTCTCCAAATAAGTCAAAACACACATTTATTGGAGGCAATTTGTTGACTGGAAATTTCGACTACATGAGTTTTTAAGCTGAAATGATATATTTTTTTAAAAGAATGTAGCTCGAAAGGAAGTATGAAAGAGTCTCTATGAAGATTTCGATGAATGAAGAGCTAATAAGAGTTTTATTTCGCTAAGTGTTGGTGAAAGGTTCGTATGCGAACCATTGGAACTTAAATTATTTGAAATATCGGATTAGATGTTTCGACCGTCACATTTGGCACTTCGAAGGCAAAAGAGTTTTTAAATTTGAAAGTTTGATCTTATCCAAAGAGACGCGTGGAAGCAAAAGGTTCGAAGGCGCATGCAGATGTTAAACGTGGCAACATTTTATGAAGAGATTGTTTTGGTCGAATTAGTATAAATGGGGGTCTTAGTGTTAGGATTCAGTGTGTTCACGTCTTTGTACAAAATACTCTAAATTACTCAAAGTATCAGCGTTCGAGAAACGAGTTGTAAGAATATACGTATGATGCACCAATTTTATGTTTATTATCATTCAACTTTAATTGAAGTTTTATACATTCCTTTTAAGTTTCAGTGAAAAGCCTTTTACATTCCAGTCTTTTCTTTGAAGTATTACATTACTACATTCGAAGTAACAATTGAAATCAATTATGTTTAAAAGAGTAAGAATGATGTCGAAAGTATTCCGTATTTAAGAACAGGAATTTGAATAAGAACACGTATACTTAAGATCAATCTGGTCAATCCTGCAAGTCACCAATTTCTTATTCGATTTGGAAGACCAGCAATTGTTTACCAAATTTCACGGTAAACACTTCTGCAAAGTAAAATTGGTCTTCATCGCCGAAGAAATAATCGTTCAGCTGAAGGGGAGAAATGTATTTGTTCATCTGAGGAAGAGAAATGAATTTTTCATAAAAAGATATGTACTCTTTTTTCTTCTGAGGATGACTGTTAATAATCTGTATTGATTAGTAACGAGATAATTCCCCTACAAAGAATGTTATACTCTCTTTCCTTCTCTAGAATTTTTCCCACTAGATTTTTTCTAGTAAAATTTTAAGAAGACATATTCTTTATGAACATCCAAAGAGGAGTGTTATAAATGACATGATTATAGATGTCTTTCAATTGAAAGATTTCTTATTGATTTTATATTTATTACATATATCCTATAAATATGACTCATATTGTACTTGAAACATCAACTCAAAATATGAATGATAGAATATCCTCTATTCTTCTCTTTCTCTCTTCTATTGTTTTATTATGTTTCATAACATATAGTAAAATCATGCAGAAACAACTTTGGATGATATTTCAGATCAACAACATATACTCTCATAAACCTGATCCAACATCGAATACTAATTGACACCATAGCCACCAATACTCATGTGCTAACAATCAAGATTCGTCACCAGTGAGGACAACAATCATGTAAAATATATATCTTCCTGGGCCCCAATATAAAGAAACTTCCTTGTTTGTGATGGATCACTATTCCTTTCTTTTTTTTGTGGTGAGGGTAGAGGTTGATGGTACTTACCATTCTTGTTACAGCTTTTGGCACAGAGTGCGAACTTATAACCACATTTCTCCTGCCAGGCAAAGGGGCCTTTTGGGTGAGGTTGGAAGTATGCTTAGAAACATAATACAGATAAATATTTTCAATAGTATTTGAAGAAATGTTCACATTATGCAGGCAAGCAAACTATATCACGAACATACTGCCGGATTAATCAAACAGGATCAAAGCCACGTCATTTACCTAATAAGCCAATTTCTTGTACATAAGATCCAGAGAGTTAACTAATTCTAGTTATGAAAAATACAAGACACAACTCGGCACTACCATATGCAGCAGATGTAGCCAAGAATTTCACAGGGTTAACTTGATACTAAGATATTTGCAATTCGCAATGATGTACAGTACACAGTTTACCACTTTTCACCATAGTAGAAGAAAACTTTCAAAGCATGTCAGCTTGATTATGATATTCTGGTCAACCCCGTCTTTTTCGATCATCTTCCTCCTCATCATCAGAATCACCACTCTCCCGAAATCGTGGATTTTTTTCCTGCCACACAAGATCAAGTTTGATTAAGAGAGATAATACTGGAATCAGCTAGGCCAAAAAAGATGATATTTGTAAAGCCTAGATATGGATTAATATTAGCAGTGATGGCAACTGAAGGCACAAATATAAGCATAGGGAATACAGACACAGGCATAAGCCTTGAGTTAAAGAAAGAAGTTCTGCATGCTATGTGACACTCTACAAGGTATGGCAACTGGAACCATTGCATATAATTGAACAGTTAGACCAAAGCATCATCAAGATTTGTAAAGTTTACCGGTCTAGATTCATGGTCAGCGTTCCTCCGAGATTCATGATCTGATGTTCTTTTTGAGGGCTCCTGTGTGTGGCGGTCATCGTCTCTGTATCTCTTCCTATGGTGGTAATCTATAATGCCAAAGAGACAAATTTAATAAATTCATTTGTAATTTCAAAGAAAAATAATACCAGTAACCCATATGCTTCTTACAAATTTATATTGATGGACAAAAGAAATTGTTTTAAGATGAAACTACCTCTACCATGCCGATGGCCACCACCATGACCATGGCCACCACCGTGACCATGACCACCACCATGTCTACCATCTGCAAGATTAAAATTGCTGAACCATTAAATTTGTTGAAAATGCAAAATCATGCCACATGATAGAGAACCACCACAAATTTTACTATGTAAATAGAAGTTAGACGGCAGATGAAAGGTAACAAAAAAAAAACAATGAGGCTGGTTCACCATAACACTAACACATGTTGGTTTTTTGGCCTAGCATACAGACACAGTAATGAGATTATAAGATGTTTATACTAAAGTATAAAGACGGTATTTATCTGAATATTGAAGAGAAAAGTGGATAAGATAAGATTCAGAATATTATAAGCACTGATACTCGCTAAAATCATGGCTATATTTTTACTTCATAATAGATGTTAAGATTCAATACAGAAGTCATTATGTTGCTTCCAGTATAGAAACATATGAAGCGCGGATCCTAACACGAACACTTGACACGACACGGACACGTTGGTGCTACTAATGTATAAAACATAGGTCACCACCAATACCGCTACATGTATATTAACTCACTTATTACAGTTCAATAAATATTACTTATTTATAAAATATATCTAAATTGAGAATCCAAATATGTACATGTTCATCTAAATTGAGCAGTTTATTTACCCACCTACTGTCAAAAAATTAAAAAAGTTGTAATCAAATGTAAAGTCTTTAACTCTTCGTTAATCGGCATTATTTTGATATGTCTTTAGCCGTTGTAGATGTGTCTCGGATGTGACTAAAGAGTGTTGAAGTCTGTCGAAACAGAAAAAATAAATTCTTGAGACACATGTCTAAGTTGAACAACACTTGCCATACAAGTCTTAAACACTGATTTAACGAGTGTCGAAGAAAAGGAAAAAAAAATTAAATCATTTTGGGACACTTGTCTGAGTTATCTCACATGTGTCATACAAGTTTCATATGAGTGTCATACGAGTGTTGAACACCGCAACACGGCTAATTCTAGAGGTGTTTGTGCTTCATAGAGAAACTGTTATTTCAAGGTTCAACTTAGTTATCAATAATGACTTTCATATTAAAATTATACTAAAACTTACAAACTGTATCTATAAGAGCAACAATTTGACGTTCTGACATGGAACTGTCTTAAGAAATCTAATGTAGATGGTATTTGCCATAGGAGAAGCCATTACTTTGTTTGATTACTCATACTGCATAACAAATAGAACGCAGGAGAGGACTTGCTAATTGAAAAAATGCACATAGTTGGAGGCTGCCTTATTTATTGAATATTTGAAGAGTCCTGGCAACACAGTCTCTAACACACATCCCAACACTCTCTTCTGTTTGCTAAAATTTATATAGGTCCTTATAAATTTATATGGGACCCACATAATTTTGTGAAACCCGTATATATTTAAACCAATTGAAGAAAGTCTCTTAAGATGTGAGTTAAAGAATACTCGCATTATTCTTGTATATTTACAAATACAACACCAAGCTAACAATGTAAAAACTGGTATGGGCTAGCGAGTCGGTGACCATAGCCCATAATTCGAGGTCCTTTCCAGGGTTTTACTTATCATTCGATAAAACTCAAGCAGGTATATACATTAACCAAATATTGTAATTGAAAACAAGTAAAATGTTGAACCACTGTTGCTACTAGAGTTGAAGATCCATAAAAAATATAAGAGTCACTTACAAGAAGGAATAACTGGCGGAAAAGATCCCAAAGAACCAGTGCCATAATCTACAAGCTGCCTTTGTACTTCTAACTCTTTCTGAACCAACTTCCCATATCCACCCCTACGTATGTAGAATTAAGGAAACAAAAAGAGACTAGTAGAAATATTAGTGCAACAGAATATTTTTCTGAAGTAATTTTGCTGGAAAATTTCTTGTTCAGGATCAAATAAATGTGCGGAAAATTGGGATTATTCATTATTTGATTTCAATTAGACCACGTAACATCATAGGAGATTTAATAAATTTACTTTTATGAACATGTAAGGATGTAATTGATCAAATGTAAAGTTCATTTCATTCTAGAATATTAAGAGTAAACAATGATGCCAATTACAGATAAATTTATTTAAAACAGTTAAAAGGATATCTGGATCATAATCGGTGCGATATTCGTCACGCACCTGCAAATATTAATAACATCAGTCAAAATTAGCCGAGAACAAAAGCAACTAAAGGAAACAAAGGCACAGAAACTAGAAAACACACAGATACAACATGGATACAGCGCAAACACTGGGAAACATATGGCAACTAGCATATTTTATAACTACGGGATACAACATGGTTAACACAGAATACATAAAATTGGTATATTGAAAAATTAATTCTTGAATCAATTCAAAATAGAGAATTGATATTTTCCGAACTAGGACAGACCATTATGATCAGACCACGATAATATCTTTATAGCATCAATGTCATGTAGTTAACCCTACCTAATGAGAAAAAGCTTTGTTACTGTTAGCATTGTCAGTATTCTCTATTCTAATGGTGTAAATGCTGAAAACAAAATTAGTATAATACAACAAAAAATAACTGATTTGTCCAAGTAAACTATGAACTCAATTACTAGTTTCAAACATTCACACATAGTTCCACAAAGTTATTCACCTGGCCACCACTACGACCGCGACCCCATTGTCTTCCATCCTGAAATCCCCAGTCAAAATCAACACGAATAGGACGATCATCCAGTATCGTCCCACTTATATATTTGCAAGCATCCTCAGTATCTTCACGAGAGTAGTATCTAACAACAATAACAATCAAATACACACACAAAATCATCAATCAGCACCGAATAATTTTCTCAACGGCCAATAAATCACTGCAACCAACAATGCATAATCACTAACTAGTAACTACAGTCTATGCTTCCTTCATTCAAACACTTATTTCTTTAACAAATCACTGTTATTAACAATGCAGAGCGTGTATCACATTTGGGCAAATTATTAGGGTTTGTAAAACTTGAATAGAAATTGTATCTTACAAAACGAAGCAAAATCCGCAAGGAGTTTTAGTGTTCTTATCCAAACCCATGATGATCTTCTTGATTTCACCAGCTCGAGAAAACAGTTCGTAAATTTGCTCTTCGGTAGTGTAAAACGACATGTTCCCAACATAAACGGTTGATGAAGTTATCAGAGCATGCTCAAACTCTTCTTGATTTCCAGGGAATCTTCTGTCCCGGTACGCTGAGAGCTTCGCCGGATCCTAAAACATTCACAGCAGAAGAGAACTGAATCAAATCAAATCAAATCAACCATAACCGATAGTAGTTGAATCAAATAACGAAAACGTTGTTGTAGCGTAGTGTACCTTGAATAACGAAGCCATGTTTGATAGTGCTATCGGTGAAAAAACATGAAATCGGAGAAGATGGAGTAGTTGTAGTTCCGATTTCAAACACGATTAGGGCATGGTGGTTTTGACCCGAATCAATGGTACGGTTCACGAAATCGATGTTTAGGGAAGACCAAAGTTTGGGCCTTAGCCCAAATGATGTTAGTGAGTAGGTTTACCCACAACACTCTCTTTTTTTGTTTATACCCCTACCACATATTTTTAAAATTACACATTATTTTGAAAGTGTATTTCTAGACAGGAAAATAATTAAGGCTCTTGTGCTTTATTCAAATGACATAGAAAATAATATTATTTCTACCATATCTAGAAATAAACGCAAGTCACGTAAAGAACTTACAGAACAAAGACAGAGAAGAAGAAAAAAAATGATACCTTTAATAAGTGTAAATTTTAAAGGAATAACTAACAGAATCACCAAAGACACAAGAAATATTGTACAGTTACAAACAAGGATGAAGATCAAAGGAAATATAAATATCACTAGAATGTGAATAGTACATGAAATACTAAGTGGGTGTGAAACTCTGATGATAATTTCGATGATGTTTTAGATTTTCTTCATATGTTTTTTTAAAGAATTCTTATGATGATTCTTCATCTAATACTTTAAAGGATTCTTAAGATGATTTTTCATTTGATACTTCAAAGGATTTTTCATATAATTCATCATTTGATACTTCAGAGGATTCTTTATATAATTCTTTATCTAATACTTTTAGTGATTTTTTAGATGATGTTTCAAATAATGCTTTAAAAACATCTGAATATTCCTCTTTCATCTTTTCCTCATCTTGAAGTAATTTAATCAACTCTTCAAATTTCTTGATAATTTACTACTTGTTTAACTTACCTTATAAATTATCAACAACATTTATATATTTAGATTCTAACACTATATTAGATTTCCAATACTAGAACCTGAATCTTATATACTCGTTATAAATACAATTTTTGAAATCAATGACAAGAGTTTTAATATTAGAGAACTATCTTTGAATATTTTC